TTTATTGAATGTAGATGTTGGTAGTACTTTCGTAAATAAATCAGTCACATTATCACTTGATCGAATTTGTTGAATATCGATGTCATCATTCTTTTGAAACTCATGTGTATGAAAGATTTTTGGGGAAATACGCTTTGTCCTATCACACTTGATATAATCTTATTTGAGTTGTGCAATACAAGCAGTATTGTCTTCATACAAAATTATTGGACTATCTTTTGTTAAAATTAGTCTGCATGATGCATAGATATGATGGGTCGTGTTCCTCGACCATACACATTCTCGGTCTGCTTCATGGATTGCAATAATTTCAGAATAATTTAAGGACGTTGCTATCAATGATTTTTTCACGGATCTTCATGATATAGATGTTCATCCACGTGTTAACACGTACCCTGTTTGTGATTTAGTTTTATGTAGGTCAAAGAGATAACTTACATCTGCATATTCCACTAAAGCAGATACCGACTTTTGAAAATAAAATAATTTCAAATCAATAGTACCATTTAGGTAATGAAAAATATGTTTAACATCATTAAAATGTCTTTGTGTTGGTGTAGAGTTATATCCTGCAATAAGATTTACAGAAAAAATTATGTCGGATTGAGTACAGTTTGCAAGATAAGTTGATACTCAATTGCACTAAGATATGGTACTTCAGGACCAAAAACATTTTCTCCATCTTCAAATGGAAGAAAATGATTCATTTTCACATTAAGTGATTGAACAACCATATGTGATGCCAATTAATGTGCAGTATTCATATAAAATCGTTTTAAGATTTTTCTGTATATGTAGATTGATGAATAAATAATCATTTTGGAAAATGTTCAATCTACAATTCGAGACAGAATTTGATTTTTCCCAAATCTTTCATCTCAAATTCATTTTTCAAATAATCTATAATTTTGTTGAGCTCTTCAAAAGTTCCAATTAAATTTAAGTCATCAACATAAACTGCCACAATTTCAAATCTAATATTTGTTTTCTTTATGAAAACACATGAGCAAATATCGTCATTTTTATAGATTTCCTCCAACAAATATTCATTAAGGCGATTATGATAGAAAAATTGAAAAGGAATAACGAACTTTATTAAAAACCTTTTCACATAAAACCCTACATCCATATCCATATTGAAATCTAGAAATA